CCCCCCCCCCACAAAAAAAAAAAAACCAAAAAAAAAAAAAAAATCAAACCCAAAGCAGCCGAGCTTAACTTCAAAATATCTGTTAATTTGTGGGAATCGTCTTGAGTACTTTAAGGAAAATTGCTTTAATGCCTTAATTGATTGAATGATTCTCTGCACACATTTTTCTTTACAATTGTTTTTAAAAAGTAACAAAAAAAAAAAAAAAAATTGAAGTGAATGATGATGACCCGTTGCCATCCAGCTTTCTAGCTTTCTATCAACATTTTTCTTCTTCAAATTGTATGAAGGGATTTAATCATTAGAAAAGCAAGTAGAACAAAGTATAACTAAGCCTAATTATACAGAAAGTTTTGCAAACTAAAGGTCTTTTATCTATTTATTTATAAGACTATAAATATCAAGGAAATTCCCCCCTCTCCCCCCCACCTTTTTTTTTAAATGACACACGTGGGGGTGGGGGGGGGGCACCTCTTCCCCTTTCGCCCTCCCCCATCGCCTAAATTCGCAGATATTGGAAAAGAATTATTGCTTTTTTTTTTTTTTTAATTTTTTTGCAAAACCTCCCCCATCGCCTAAATTCGCAGATATTGGAAAAGAATTATTGCTTTTTTTTTTTTTTTAAGTTATTTGCAAAACAGTCAATCCATCATTTGATCTGTTTATGATGCTGCTCTTTCTGTTCGTTGTAATTTTAGACCATCAACCCAAAATTTGAAACAAATAATCTGATCCTCATAAAGATATAAACATTAAATTCTTAGGCCTACATTCGTGTTATGCACCTTTTTCTTTACCAAACATGTACTACGGTGGTCTTTCAGTGTTGTCCGAAACTACAATCTTTTATAATCTTAAACAATGTAAACTGATAAAGCTCTGTATTTATTTGTGACATCAATTGTATACAATTTCCTATTTTTAAATATAAATAGATGCGGATTTTTCCGTAAAGGACATAGTGGTGAAATTTCACAACGGGTATTCCAATAGATTATTATCACTTTTGTATAGTGTCAGTCTGAATCAGAGTCTTCAGAGTCTGATTGTTTAATCTTTCACTGTCTTCTTATATTTTATAACAATTTCCAAGAGGTATGTATAAAATATGCACATTTTTACATCTTAGGTGTTCAACTTTTGTAATTCAAACGTTTCAAATTTGTCACAGATCGGATGTTAGGAGGAGCTCTTTGATCCTAACCTGTCACTGTCAGTGACACAAACTATATTAGTGATAGTAGCGACTGTTGAGCGAGAAGCAGGGCGACTCCATCTGTCGTGTCTTGATTTTAGATTTGGGTAATTTAAGCGTTGAAGCTGACAAAAGTACGACATGTAAAGCATACCAGTAATCCAAGTAGTCACATGCTTAATAAATAAATGTACAGGCCAAGTTATTACACTCCTTGAAGTCCTTGACACAGAAGTCAGAAGGCAATATGCCATGTTGAGTCTTCCTTGGGTTTTCATGTGCAAAATATGTAAAAAGGGGGACATTTATAAACGGATATTTTTTAAATGAGGCCCTTTATTAAAGAGGGGATATATAAAAGAAGGACATTTCAAAATAAAACCCAATTTATGATATACACGTTTATAATGAAAGAAAGCAATAACTTCAACATTAATTTTTTTTAAAAATGTTTGTACCATACTACTGACAATAAATAGGCATTTTAACACAAATTTCAGAGCTGTTAATTTTTGACAAACGCTAAGGAGTCAACTTATACAACCTGCTAAGTCATTTCAGGTTGATTTTGTTGTAAATTGGTTTTTTAAAATAATTTTTATTTTTTTAATGAACTGCATAAAGTCCCATAGTCTCATGGTTTCAAAGTCCCATAGTCTCATGGTTTCAAAGTCCCATAGTCTCATAGTTGTGAAACTGTTGTTATCATTGATTCCCAGACGATCAGATTTTTTTCTCCCTATTAATATAACTACTTTCGGGGACCTCTATGTCAATCTATCCCCCCTCCCCCCCCCCAACACACACACATAAAGGTCCTTCTTTTCGGTACCTACCACGATGAAATTTTAATGGTAAGATTAAGGCCACAATGTTTAATACAATAAAACATACACGCTTTATAATGTAATTTAGGTGAAATCTTTTGAAAACGCAATCAACACAATAACAAATGTCACGTAAATCTTCTTATATAAAGATAATTGTGAAATGTATTTAACCCCCCCCCCTTTTTTTTTTACTCCTTTTTTATTTTTTATTTCATGGCAACAAGTTCGTGACACACAAATGTATTTCTTTTATTCCCATTCTACAGCAAAAGAAAAAACATGGACAAGTTTAGAGATATCGACCTGCTTCTGATTGGAAAAACTGGCAATGGCAAGAGTGCAACTGGAAACTCCATTCTAGGTAGAAAAGTGTTCGAATCACGTTGTAGCACTACGTCAGTCACTACAACAATGGCCCGTGAAATGATCGAATTTGAAAGCCGTATCATTAAGGTGGTAGACTCACCTGGTGTGGCGGACCAACAGACTGACCTTAACGCCTGTACAGATATGATCGAGAAGGCACTTGCCACAAATCCTGCTGGCTATGACGCCATTATCCTAGTGGTGAAATATGGACAAAGGTTTACCCAAGAGGATGTGCATGCCATCAAAATTCTAAAAAGCATATTTGGTGGAGATTTTATTTCAAAATATTGTGTCCTTATCTTTACCTGTGGGGACAATTTTGATAATGAAACCCAAAACGCTGACAGATTCGTCATGGACTGGTGTCTCAATCAGCAAGGGCCATTAAAGACATTGTTGAACGAGTGCAGTTTCAGAGCCGTCCTGTTTCAGAATTTGACAGAAGACACAAACATCCGGCAGAAGCAGTTGCGTGAACTGATCAAGCAGATTGATGCCTTGCAATGGAAACAAAGATATACCCATGAAACTTTCGCCGGGGCACGACAAGAAAGAGACAAAATGCTTTTAGAATTTAAAAGTCCACTAATTAGAGAAAATATGCTGCATGAGCTAAGTCTTATCTTACAGGATCTGCAGCAAGGTTTGTGTCTGGACGAAGAAGCTGAAAGGCTCAGATTTCTGGAGGCACTTCTGTTTCGAACCAACAAACTCAGCGAAGACATACACGAGAGACGCGGCTTTCCAAGTAGTCGCCAAGACATGCTCAAAGTTGTCAAACCACTTAACAAGATCATATTGCTCGCCAGGAGAAACGCACTTGAAAGAAAAGAAAATTTGTCATTGGATAAACAAAGTTTTCTTCAAATGGAGCACGCCGATGAAATAAAAAAAGCAAATGATGTTGGGGAAGAGCTAGGTGAACGAAAAAGGAAAACTAAAGACGAGGAGAAGACAAACCGAAACAAAGAGGAAGAGTTATTCGGCAAGCTTGGGGCAACGGAGAAAAAACGGATCAAGAACATGGGAAAGCTTCAGAAATTATACAGATTGGTTAAGGATAAAATCGATGGGAAAATTGTGACAAAGGTTACAAGCAAAGGAACCTGGTCTTTTAAAGAGATTTCTGGTTTGTTCCAAAAGTAAGAAGAAATTTCTGAAAAAGATGGTTCGTTTCTTTGGTATTTAATTAATGTCTTACATATGCTTAAAAAGCTGGGATAAATTTATGAATTTTTTTAGCTTTAGTCACAAAAATTGAATTATGACCCTCAGAGACTATAAAATTAGCTTCATGGCTTGTGTAGCTGTTTTGAAAGTTTAAAATAGTAGTTTTTTTGTTGTTTTTTGTTTTGTTTTTTTTAAAGTTCTCCCCTTACAAAAACTAATACTTCTGTTTCAAAATGAGCAGTAGGAGCATTCATGGATAATGTGAATCTCTGAGCGGTGTGTATTTTTAAAAGCAATGTATTTTAATGACAATTCAAAGTCATTTACGTCACCTCCGAACCGAATCATTGAACGCTACCACATAACGTGTTTTTTTTTTTTTTTTTTTTTTTTTTTTTTTTTTTTTTTTTTTTTTTTTTTTTTTTCTGAAGATAATATTTTTTTAAACATAGAGAATATTAATTTTTTTAAATAGTTGAAATAAATCTATTTACATATATCGTCCAGACAGATATGTAAAATATAATTGCAAAAGTAGATATCATGTTAATCATAATTGCCTTATTATATAAAAAGAATATTGCATCATTAATTGAATATTTATATATAAGTATATATACATATATATATATATATATATATATAAGATATATATATATATAAGATATATATATATATATATATATATATATATAAAAAAAAAAGATAATGAGAGAG